GCGCATCCCTGGAGACTTCAGGAGAAAAAAAACCTTTTCGCAATGGGGCATGGGCAGGCACCGGATGCCACCGGAAACGCGATCAGACGCCCGCCCTTGCCCCGCGGTTTCCGGAAACTAGTACCTCCGAGGTACTAGTTTTTTACCACGCGTCATTGGTGGGAAGCCTCGGGTGAACCACGGGAGCTCTACGCTTCCCAGATGTGGCGGTGAGATCGTGCCCGGAAAATCAGCCTGTCTTCCATCCCTCTAGCGTGGCTAATGCTCCGTGTGACCGGGGCCACTGTTAATTAAATCTAATAACCACTATGTTAGATGTGCCGTTTTGAGGATATGGAATAAATATAAACCTAAGTTTTGTCTGAAAATACCTCCATGGCTATCATGACAAGAAGCTCACTTTAGAAGACAAATGACAAGTTTGTATAAATGGTTAACATATTGTGATATGTCAGTATTTTCACAAGGTGAATATAAAACAAAATGAAGAAAAGGTTTTACAACAGAAGGATATACTTGCTAATACTTTTCTTATTTACAAATTTTAGAAAAAATTAAAGTAGATAAAAGGCATTATAATTTTGAACATTCTAAGACTAAATCTGAAACAGAACCATGTACAAATGATGAACATATTATTGCCAAAATATGTCTTTTGTTGAAATTTGAAACAGAGGAAGAGCAGGTAAAAGAATCTATGATAAAATGGGCTAAAAATTTTGTTCATGATATACGAATGGAACAATGGAAAAATATGTGGTTAAAAAGGTTGAAATTTACATTAAGTTTTAGTCTTAAAGAGAACTTTTACAAGATGATGTACCTTTGGCATTTGCTTCTGGTAAAATTGGCCCAAATGTATAAAGGTACTTTGAGTTTATGTTGGAAATGTGAACAACATGAAGGATCATTTTACCATATATGGTGGACATGTAAAGAAAGCCAAAAAAATAATTGGATACAAATGTAATTATTATTCCAGAAGCTTTTAAAGATTAATATATAACTGAAACCAGAGTTGTTTCTTTTGAGACCGATGGACACTCAGCTAGAAAGAAGTCATGAAAGTTTATTTTTATATATGACAACGGCAGCAAGATTATTTATATGTGCAAAGGTGGAAGAGTCCAACATTGCCTACAATAGAGGACTGGTTTGTGAAGGCGCAGGAACTTGCAGTGATGGCTAAACTTACTTCACTGATTAAAGACAATAAGTTCATTTATTGCTGATTGGGAACCCCTTATAGACTTTTTTGGTGAAACACATAATAATGATTTGATTATTTGTGGATTTGATGTATAAGGAATTTAGACAATAGAAAAAAGAGAGTTTTTCTTGTAAATATAGAGTAAGATAATATTTTGTAATCATACTTATATTTGTTGCCGAGAAAACCGGAAGCCACCTTTTTATTTTATCCAGTTCCTTTTTGTTATTTCTGTGTTGTTATTTTTCTGTTATCTGTTATTTCTTTCTTTCAATAAAAATTTAAAACATTAAGAGAAGTTTGAAACTGTAATGCTGGACAATGGGCAAACACTAACTTTGCACACATTTTATATACAAGTGTAACCCTGTGGGTTTGGCCCTCTGTTGGAGTTCTTTTTTTGGGGGGGGAGGTATTTTCTCCCTGTGGGGAAACTATAGGAAAGGGCTGAGGAAAATGACAGTCCTGAGAGGAAAGGGGTTCTAAGGGGAAAAGAGAGGGATTTCTGAGGAGAGAAAAGGAGGCAGGAGCCTTGTGGGTCCAAGGGCAGAGAAGAGAGTGACCTGAGGAGCCTCAAGAGAGCGGCAGCTGCCAGACATCCGCAGCAGCACAAAAGCCTGAAGAACAGCAGCAGCAGCATGACAGACAGCTAAACCACAGAAAGCAGAGTGGGAGAGGCTTTGAGAAGGCGGCCATATATAGTAAAAGGCTCTAATCATTTTTTTGTTCCAACTTTAAGTTGTGTTGTCTAAGTTTGGGTTTGTATATGTGTGCTCTGCTTTCATTCCCCATCCCTCTTTGTTGAATTAAATCCTGCTTCGATTTTAAGTTCTACTTCTGTTTGGTTATGGGTGATTGGAGGGGGTCTGAGAGTTGAGTTTGACCTTTTTTTCTTCTTTATTTGCCTACTGGTCGTCCCTCCTGTTGGGATGGAGGCACTTCTACCTTCTTTTTTCTTGTCATACTCCCCATTAAAAAACCCAGGTCCCATAAATTCTTCCCTCAACTGAGGCTGGTGGGAGAAACTGGTGTTACACAAGCGAGCACAATCTTTTGTTCTTTCTGAGAGATGTAAAATATCCAGACCTTGAACTAGGAAAGATTTATGTATGTGTGCATGTACACACACAAACACTTTATCCCTTTCTTATTTCCAGTCCTCCTGGCAGTCCAAAGGAAAATGCATTTCTTTTATAGAAGGCCAGGAGGGTATAATATAAATACTTGCCTAGGGATTTGAGCCCAGCAAGAAGCTTGCTCAATTTGCTTGACATTTTTCATTAATTACAGCCAAAATTGGATCAGGGCCTAAGTGGCCTACTAATCGACTTTATACTGTATTGGGACAAGGGAGCAAAATGAAAACTGTGGCAGAAACTGTATTTCCTAATTTCCTAAACTATAGTACATGTCCATTTTCTAACTTGGGCTGCATAATGTATCTTTTTTTGACAGAGCCAACTCAGTATCACAATAGTTACCCATAATCAATACAGAGCACTCGATATGAGAAACTGCAGCCAGAAAAGCTCCTGCCTCATGAAAGGGGGAGAAAAGCAGTATGATAGAGGGTCAAAGAGAAGCATTACATTTATTTTTGTGACACAAATCTCCAGTGCCAGCTCATGTAATCTACCCAAAGAAAGCTTCCACTGAAAATAAAAATTTAGTGTCAAATTGAATTTCTTAATATATACTACGAATGCCTTTAAGTCACTACATTACCCTGTGATAGGGATACCAAGCAGCTGGCTGGCATCTCCCGTGACGTCTGACATTGCATCCACCCAAAAACCTGGATGTGAAATTAGCATGTTGGGTGATTCTCTGGCCATTCCATGGAGTTTTCATGAATGGCCAGAGCATCGTCTGATGTACTTACACCACATCTAGGTTTTCAGGTATATGCACCACTGAATGTCATTTCCTGCCTGGGCCTTTTCTCCTGCCATTCAGAGGGCTGAGGGTGGGGCAAAAAGCCCAACCATCAGGAGGCCTCCTCCTATAAGTAGGCAAATGGTATTCCTAATTTGAGAGCACATATGTTTATTAGTTTGGAGTAGGCCAATTATGTCATGTTTAATACCACCATTTGCAACAGTGCCTCCACAAAGTACATCGCTAACACTGGCACAGGACACCACACTGGCATCTAGTTATTGAAGCCAGTTTGGTATAGTGGATAGGAACGTGGACTCTAATCTGGGAGAACTGAGTTTGATTCCCCACTCCTCCACATGCATCTGCTGGTGTGACCTTGGATCAGTCACAGTTCTCTCAGAGCTGTTCTGGAAAGAGCAGTTCTTGAAAGAGGACTGTCAGCCCCACCTACCTCACAGGGTATCTGTTGTGGGGAGGGAGGGAAAGGAGATTGTAAGCCACTCTGAGAGTCCTTTGGGTAGTGAAGGGCAGGGTATAAATCCAATCTCTTCCTCCTCTTCATGTTCTTCTTCTTCATTGTATCAATGTTACCAAAAAAACCTGAGGATTGGAGTAACTTTCTCAAATATAGCCATAGTCTGTTTTGAATGAGATTGCTGCTACTGGACCATCAAACTCAAGGCAGTTGTCATTTTGGAAATATAAATGAATCTTTTGTGCTTTGTGCAGTAAATGTATTGAACAATGATTGCAGGACAGGAGAGATGAAAGGGAAAAGCATCTATTATATTTCTTTTTCAAATGCTATCTAAATGCAAAATCTGGAGCAGATTTTAGGTAAAAGTCCCATCTTGGTGCAGAGACTGTCCAAAAGACTGACAAGTCTCATTTCCTGTGACAGAAAACGGCTATAAAAATAGCACATTCAAAAATTCATTCAATTTTTGCATTATATCAAACAGCTATATAGGGATCTTTTTAAAGTATTCTGTGTGAGTTTGTGTGTGTGGGCACCATCCAACCATAAAATGGGTTAATCGGGTTTTGTAAGTACACTTGAAACTGTGAAATGCCCTCTATTACTAATGTTGATCACAATTCAGCTTTTGCTCATATTGTGGGGGATATTCCATTTTCTACCCATAACTACTAAGAGTTGCCTAAGAATGGGAAATAGTTGAACACTGTTATAGATTGAGCAGAATTCAAAGGACACACTGGAAAGAACTGTCACTCAAATTCACTGAGCTATAAAATCATACACAGAACCTAAATCTACATTCTTCTTCTCTGATGAAGCTACCAGAATTAATTCAAGGGAGCTCTTTGCACTGCATCAGCTAACACAGGGGATGGGATCATGTGGCCACTGAAATTATATTTGGTTTCATGAAAATCTGTATGGATATTAGTAAAGTGCATAGGAACTATTTCTTTCAAGCATGTACTACAGCAAGTTGAAGAAATGAAGCTGCTTTATACTAAGACCACTGATCTGTTAAGGTCAGTATTGTTTACTCTGACTGGCACTGGCTCTCTCAGTCTGAGATCGTTCACAACACCTACCACCTGATCATTTTTACTGGGATTGAACCTCGGACCATTGAACCCACTTTCATTGCATTCCTTACTTACCCTCAAGACAAGTATCCCAACCCCTGAGCATTTCCATTTCCAATCACTTGGATCACTTGGATTGCACTGAAGACTGTTCTTTTGTGTCTGTACTTTGGAGCATTAACACAACCTTTGGAATTTTCCTAAAGTTTAAATTATGAACATTTTTGAGTCATCATTTTTCAATAATAGCAGTAAAAGTAGAATGCCGTGAAAACCCAAATCCTGCTTTTGATTAACAAAACTTTTCTTTATTAACACACTGGAATATGAAGTCTTCAAACATGCCGTGAATTCAAAAGTAAATTACCCAAGACTGTTGCTTGCCAACATAAATATCATGTAAGACTGCATTTTCTCTTGTGGGTGGATGCTATTTTGAATGAAGCGTTATTTGGAGAACATAATTATTCTAATATGGCAATCATTCCATTTTCATTCATTTTGCTAATGCTATTTATCATCTGAAACAGAAGAAAAAGATATCTTGTCAGATAAAACTTCATGAAGTCTCTGTCCTATTTTGTGTCCGTATTCATTGACATTTCACAGCATCTCCCCATTTTTCGGTAGATGTGCCATACAGAGGATTGGCAAAGGAAGCAGGCATTATGTCATTATTGTGGAAAAGCTAGAGGGGGAAAAAACAAGAAGTTATTTCATAACAAAGTGCTAAATTGAAGCAGAGGAACAGAAAGAACAATTTCTAAATGAAGTACAAGCTAATTTGAGGGCACATTTCAGAAGAGCACCTTCAAATAAGACATCCTGATCAGTGTTCCCTCTAAGCTGAGTTAGTGTGAGCTAGCTCACAGTTTTTTAGCCTCCAGCTCACACATTTTTGCCTTAGCTCAGGAAGGAGGGCTCCAGAGCAAACTAATTTATGCAACAGCCAAATTGTTTGCTCACAGCTTTAATGCCAGTAGCTCACAAAGTAGAATTGTTGCTCACAAGACTCCGCAGCTTAGAGGGAACATTGATCCTGATACACTTTATGAAGTGGGCTCTTATAAGGAATTCCTTGGTCACAAAACTCTGCATTGTTCCTGCCACATTTATTGGATTTTCAGCTTCTGTGAGGGCTAGTACACACAATCTATTAATGTGAGCCCACTGTGCAAAGGCTAAGATCCTAATTTGCCATTTCATCGTTATGGCAGCATCTTCTGCAATGGAAGAATGGGAGGAAGATTTTTGCTGATTGTCTGCTCCTGCTGCAGATTCACAAACACAATATGCTCCCCGCACTGTTCCTTTGGGTCTAGTGAATGGCAGGAGCGCCCTTTTGAGTGGCACAGAAAGCTACATGGGAGGGGACTTGTATTCCTTTAGCACAGTGTTCCCCAGCATAGCACCCATGGGCACTAGGGTACCTGCCACCAGCATTGCCCCTACCACTTAGTGAGCTTTTCAGAAAGGGGAGGGTTTTCCATGGCTGCAAGAGAGAGTGCTTAAAATGTGAAATTTGCTGCCAGACAATATAGTGATGGCCACAGAAATAAACAGCTTTAAAAGGAGATTAAATAGATTCATGGAGGATAGGTCTATTAGTGGCTACTAGCCACAGTGATGACTGAGGGTAACCTCCACATTCAGAGGCACTAAACTTCTGAATCCCAGATCCAGGGGGCAACATCAGGGGAAGGTCTTGGCTTCTATGCCCTTTTGTTGGCCCTCCAGAGACATTGGTTGGCCACTGTGTGAGACAGTATGCTGAACTAAATGAACCATTGGTCTAATCCAGCAAGGCTCTTATGTTCTTAGTCACAGCCACAGAAGAATCAGGAGGACTGGTAGGCTTCCGGTTACATTCTCCCTTCAGGCTTTCCTTCTTTTTATTCCTTCATCTCTTTCTTCCTTCCTCCCCCTAGACTTTCCTTTGTTTCTTTTTATTCCCCTTCTGTGATTAGGGCTGCCAGCCTCCAGGTGGGTAGAAATGAGCAGAAACAACTGTGATATGTTATGCCAAAAGAAAAATACGCAGGGTTATAAGTTCTTATCCACTATTTGGTTTACTGTAGAAAGTCAATATCTCAGAAATCATTCATAATTCTGAAAAATTGACTTTCTACAGTAAACTGAATAGTGGATAAGAATTTATAAGCCTGCATATTTTTCTTCTGGCATAATATATCACAGTTGTTTCTGCTCATTTCTACCTTCCTTTCCATGATCTTTCTTTGTGGTCTGCAGCCTCCTGGTGGGGCCTGGGGATCTCCCGCTTTTACAACTGATCTCCAGCTGACAGAGATCAGCTCCCCTGGAGAAAATGGCTGCTTTAAAAAGGTGGACTCTATGGCACTGTACTATGCTGAGGCCCCGCCCCAAACCCCACCCTCTCCTGGTTCCACCCCCAAAGTAGCCAGGTATTTTCCAACCCAAACTTGGCAACCCTATCTGTGATTGTTTTGCAAAGTGATGAGGGACATATTGTGTTTGGCTCTGCCTCCTGAGGCAGCCATTTTGAGATTGGCTCTTTTGTGTAGTGGTAAAGGTAAAGGTTCCCTTGCTCGAAAGCCAGTTGAATCCGACTCTAGGGTTGCGGTGCTCATCTCCGTTTCAAAGCCAAAGAGCCAGCGCTGTCCGAAGACATTTCCGTGTTCATGTGGCCAGTGTGACTAAACACCAAGGCGCTCGGAATGCTGTTACCTTCCCACTGAAGTGGTACCTATTTATCTACTTGCAACTTTTTGCTTTCGAACTGCTAGGTTGGTAGTGGAGCAAACAACAAATACCCAGTTCCATTTGGCTGAACGCCTCTTTATCAACAGTAACTGTAGGGCTGTTTCTAGAGCTCTAGGCCAGGGTTGTCCTGACCTGATTCTGCAGATTCTTAGTAAACCCTGCAGTCCTCCAGGTTGCTAGCAGGAAGGCTGAGAAGAAAAGCACTGAGTCCCTCCTACTCTCCTGCTTGTTCTGAGGCCTACTGGGATAGCCTCTTAAAGAGGCAGTTCACAGCAGGCTCCATCCCCGAAGAAGCCATTTTGGGTTTGGCTCTGTATCTTGCAGAATAGAGTTGCCAGGCTCCCAGTCCGGGTGAGGGTTCCCCAATTTTGTGGGCTTCTCCCCACCCACAAATGCTCCCAAATGCAGTGCAATGACATCACCTGGAAATTATGTCATTGTGTTGCTGCATCAGGGGGTAACACTCTAGTTTTTGGGCAAAACTCTATGGTAAAATTGGCTACAAACTGGTGATGGGTGACATCAGAGGTCATTTAGGGGGGATTGCAAGGGATCGCAGTTACCCCGAGTGAGGTACGGGGGCGGGGCACATGATGAAGCCCCGCCCCCTGCTTCCGGCCACCCCGCTTCCGGCCCTCATTCAGCCAGGAGGAGGCAGGAGAAGAGGGAGGGTAAGTTGCTTCCTCCCTGCCTCTCCCCACCCCTGCCTGCCTGAGGCCAGGGAGGGCCTTCGTAGGGCTTCCTTGCACTCCCGCCGGCCTTGCAGGTCCACCACCGGGCCCCTCATGGGGCTCGGCAGTGGAGCTGCAAGGCCGCCGCCGGCGGCCGGGACCGTTGGAGGTGGTGTGTGTGGCCTTATGACACACTTCCGGTGATGTCAGGGGGTGTGGCATATGCTAATGAGTTATGCTAATGAGTTCCCCTAGCTCTTTTTCAATGAAACGACCCCTGGGTGACATCATCGTGTCACTCCCGGTGACATCACCACGGATAGTACCCATGGATCCCCTGCCAGCAGAAAGGTAGGAACTGGCAACCCTATGCAGAAACCATTTGGGGTTAGCTCCGCCTCCAGCAGAAGTCACTGTGGGGAGGTGATGTCCCCTCTCAAAAGATGCCCACAGGCTCAAAAAGTTCAAAAACCCCTGGAAGCACAGCTCTGCTTTCACTGCTTAGGACCTGTCAGTACCATGTGAGATAGTTCAGGATTAGAGATACCGATTGGCTAAATATTACCCAGTAAACTTGGTAACTGATCAGAGATTTTAACCCAAATCTGCCTAGACAATTTCCAAAACACCGCACTATATTGCCTGTATTTTAGAAAGAATATACAATTTTCTATTTCATGGCCTTCCAGTCCCTTGGCAAACTTCCTCCTTAAGGAGAAAGGCAGTCCACAGAAGAAACAAGCTGGCTGGTCAGCAAAAGCTATTTTTTTACTATGCTTTTAATGCAGCAGAATTCACAACTTTACTCCAGAGTAATACACAAACTATATTGTTACCATAAGTAATGTAAAAGAGAGCCACCACACTTACATTTAAACATGCTGCAAAAAACCCTGTAATTATACTTTCTAACCTGTTTATATGTATGTACAGAGGAAGTAGTGGAAACAATTTAAAGTCTGAATTGTCCAGTATGAGATGATTTTAGAATGCTTCAGGAAAGCAGATGAGTTTGTACCTAGAAGTTCCTACACTGATTGCTGCTAATTCAAATGAGTTAGCAGGATCAACAGGGAGGCAGGGTAATTATGGACTCAGGCAGTAGCTTGGCCCTGCTGTACGAGAAACTACTTCCTCACTCTTTTCCTATTCATGTGCCTCAGGACTATTTTCTCTCCCATCAATAAGGGCTGAATAGTTTTCAGCAGAATGTATGATATGTTTACAATGTTTCCTGTTGTGTACTGGGTTTGATGCGTAGTGAAGACAGTCGCTGAGTGATTAGCAGCTCATACTTTATTGGCACACAACATAACAACCAACAAATGGTCGAATGACCAACTATATACAGTCCCCGGGTGCCACCCACAGGTCCCATTGGCGGGTTTGAACTTCCCGCCACAGTTCCTATAGGTGTTGACTAGGAGTCCCAGGATCCTAGTTCCCATTGTTCTTTTGGAGCCAAGCTCTGGTCACATACCGCTGGTGCCTAGTGGCGGTGTGCGGACATAACATTTCCCATCCTGAAAAACTGTGAGGCACACATACACATGTGGAGGGCACAGATTCAAGGGCCGTTTCAGTAATTTTAATGGAGAATGTCCAATATTGAAATTAATGCAGTACAAATGGGTGTGGGTGTACGTGGTGATGTTCTGTGATATGCATGTCACTGAATTAGGTTTCAGGATTTTTACAGGTACGAAGTAAACATTCTTGCTAATGTGGTTCACGAATAGGGTTCTGCATCATAATTATTAAACCCTGAGTAAGATTATTGATTTTTAGAGGGGGTGGGTTCCCATGGAGGTATGGAAGAAAAAGCACACTGTGCACATTTACTTATGGAAAGAGAAGATGAATGTCAACCCCCAGGCAATGTGCTGTATGCTTTCATTCATTCCAGACAGTTTCTAAAGCGACTGCCAGGCTGATAAGGGTTCGCTTGCTATTACACACTGAGAGATAGCATGCTGTGTTGCACAGCTGAACAGATTGTCCTGTGGTGAAGCCCATGGATCTGGGTTGCCAAGATGCTTGTGGGGAAATTCTAGGATCAGGAAACAAGCAGGTATCATCTCTGAGTTTTGCAGAATTCTTAGACTTATTTCTGTTTGGCAGAGCTGGGGGTGGTGGAGGAAACCAGGGGAGGGGGGTGAAGGAGATCGGCGAGGCCTGGCAGCTGGCAGCTGCTTAGGCCTCGCTCCCGGAGCTGGGGGTGGTGGTGGAGGGGAGGAGACCAGGAGGGGGGATTGGCAGGCTCGGTGGCTGGCAGCCGCTTAGGCCACACCGCTGGTGTCCGGGGATGGGGGGGGGAGGCTTACCTGCTGCTGCTGCTTCCTACTCCTCCTGCTCTGCGTGGAGCTCTTCTCCCCCCCCCTCCGTGAGTATCGCAGGTCTCCTTTCTTGTTACCTCTAATCCCCCCTAAGATTCTAAGAAATGTTCTAGTATCCATCAGAACATGTTTTACTTGATCAACATGTATGCAGTGAAGAAAAAATATCAACTAACACATGACATGGAAGATACTGTTTCCAGGGTCATATCTTGGTTTGCAAAATACAAAAGACAATAATATAAAGGGCATGGGTGGTCATTAGAGAGGGCTGGCCCATGACCCTTTTAAGAGGCTTTGCAACCCACTTTTGGGTCCCGACACACAGGTTGGGAAAACACTGGTCTAGTGGTTACTGTATTTCTCAAGTGATTCCAGGCACTTGGCAATGCGAGACTCTGATGAATTGGCAGCTGGTCTCAGAACTTGAATAAAGGTTTTGGATTGTTCTATTGAAATAAAGTGTCTCTTGCTTGGTTCCATTCCAGGAGAGCAGCTCTTTACCCCAAAGGAGCTTATAACATCTTCCTCTCCTCCATTTTATCCTTGTAACAACCCTATGAGGTAGGTTAGAATAAGAGAGGGACTGGCCCAAGGTTACCTAGTGAGCTTCCAGGGTAGAGAGATGATTTGAACCTGGGTCTTCCAGATCCTAGTAATTACTAAACCCTGAATTTGCACATCATGTAGGGTTGTCATCAGTACCACCTCAGCAAATGCTGAGAGATAGGGGTGGGTGTGCGGAAGATATAAAGTCACTTCTGGGTGCTGCTCTATAAATTTAGAAATTTCCTCAGTCTTTATGATGTCTACCATAGAGACTGAGGGAATTTCTAGATAGTCACCCAGATGTCATAATTTGGGGACATTTTTTCATCCATTCCTCAATTTTTCGATAGTAGGAGATTCAGACTGAGGGAGGGGTTGTGCCTACCATGGACACGCAAATATTAAGGCCAAAGCTGGGGGACTGGATCTCTGGGTAATCTGGACCTCAATAAAGCAGCTAACAGTACAGGGTACTGTATTAATGAATATTACTGAAGTCATTAGCAAATGTAAACAAAACTTTTGCATTCAGACAGAAACAACTCTTTAAAAGAATCAGCTTCTCCCTCAGAAAAAAAGAACAGAATCATGTTTAACCATCCAGGGTGCACAATTCTTAAAAAAAAATTCAAAAAGAAAACTATTCATACATACCCCCTGCTGTGCCTGCCATGGAGAAACACTGATCTGAACTCCCAGTGAGGCAGCATACTCTGTAGACTACAAAAGAGATGCACATTAGCTTCAGGGCAACCTTTTCCAGCAGTGAACAATATTGCCAACTCTAACGAAACTGAAACTTTGAGGTATGAAAGTAAAAACTATTGGGTTATGAAAATAAGAAGCAGGAGACTGACCAGATATGAAGGCGCACAGAGAGTTTATAAAGGTGAATATATACAGATATTTACCAGACCATTGAACAGCATGCTGCTGTGCCTTAGTCTCTGAGAACTGAGTCCCCATAGCTAACTAAGCAGACAGCTATTATGCTGAACTCTAGCCAATCCCTAACAAGGTGATGTAATCTCTAACAAGACCTGAAAGAGCAACACCTGGTAGAAGCACCTGTCTGTAGTTACATGATTGCTAGCCTGACAGCTAGGTTTGACAGTCAAATCAAACTCATCTACAGTAACTGCTTGCTACCTTTGACATTTTGACCCATATCTTAATAAAAACGCACACCATAAAGTACCTCTAGGGAATCTAGTGACTTTATTAGGACAATGGTTTCAAAGCTGACACAGGTCATAATGCTAAATTAGCTTCTTCTTTTTTTAAAAAATTATCCCTGTAGGGATATTTTTTATTTTGCATATACTACAAACTACAAAGAAATATAGGGGACTACAACTAGGGATAAAGAAAAGCAAACCACACTAGACTAAAACCCCAAGAGAAGGAGATCTTTTCACTGTTAGTAAATATGTTAGGACCATTAGTTTTATTATCACAGTATAGTTGAGTTCTTGCTTATAACAATTCGCTTCTTGTATGTTATTTTGTTAGTTGTTATGAGAGAAGTCTTTGATCATCTTCTTATTCTTTGCTTCAAAAGGCCATTTTCCAAGTCCTTCTGCCTTTACTTTGGCTTTCTGTCTCTAAAATCGTATACCACTCTGGCAGGTCCTGCACCCTTTTCTGCCGCAGAATCCTCTTCCATTCCCGAGGTAGCAGAGTCACTCGACTTCGATTCTCCCTCTTTAGACTCATCATCTGTCCCCAGCTGACATTTCAAAAATTCTTTAGCTTTAAAAGTGGAGTCTATCTTCTCCCTTCTATCGTTGATCTTAAAGATGACACCTTCCGGAACCGCCCATCTGTACGATATTCCATTAGTTTGAAGAAAAGAAATTAATTCCTTGTAATTTTTCCTCTTTTGTCTAATTTCAAATGGAATGTCCTTTAAAGTTTTAATGGTTACATTTCCCATTTTCAGTGGAGTTGCTGATGTTGCTTTTAAAATGGCATCTCTGGTTTGTCTTCTTGAAAACTTGACCACTATTTCTCCAGGTAGGCTATTTTTTTTAATATAGTTGGAGTAAGCCCTATAGGCTATCTCCATTTTGTTTACCAGTTCATCCACTGTTAAGCCTACTACTGGAGCGATGATCTCACTGAGCACCCTCTTCAAGTCTTCCCGATCCATTTCTGGAACCCCCTGAAACCTGAGAATCATGTTAGCTTTTTCCATCTGAAGCTGCAAGACTTGATTCTCTTGGCAATTCTGCTTCATTTCCACCTCTCCCATCCTTTTCTTCAACTTCTTACTTGTGGTGTCAATCTCTTTAATTTTCTCATTTGCCTGCTCCACTTTTTTCTCCGTCTCGTTCAGCTGAAGCTGCTGTGCCGCAAAGTTTTTATTCATAACAGTCAATTGCTGGTTAATACCATCGAGTTGTTCCATCACCGGCTTGAGCATATCCACCAGGAGTTTGAGGACATCTGCTCCCTCTTCCGGTCTCGGACTCTGCCTGCCCGGCTTCATTTTAAACTTTCTCTGCTGGGCCACCATCTTTCCCATTTTGTTTACAGTTTCTGCCGCTTCGCCACAACTCGGAAAACTCGCCAAACGACTTCGCAATTCAGATAAGTCTCTCAAAACACTTCCTCCCCTCTTCCCCTTCGTGTCTTAACCGCTCATTCGCAAAAGAGGCAACCCTCTTTGCAATCTCTGTTTCCAATCACGCGCGGGGGGGAATCGCTTTTCAAACTACTCCGTTTTTATTCAGAACTCACGTTCATTGTTGGCCAGTTTATCTGACCACGCTCGGTTTTATGCCATCCCGCTCAATCTCCGGCACTTGTCCCAGTCAGTCCAGCTTATGCTCGAAGGCCACTCAGCAACTGGACCGTCGGGGCAGAGGGGAGCCTCAATTCTCCGGCATTGCACCATCAAAGAGGCTATCCCTCAAAAGCCCCCTGGTCTGGAGCCTATCGCAAAGGCTCCGCGGGGGTGTCACTTGAGGTGGCACCCCTCCAGGCTGCTGGTGTGTGATTCGCCCTCCTCCATTGTGAGGAGAGCATCCGCCATCGCTGTTCCGTCAACCAGAAGTCCTAAATTAGCTTCTTAAATTCTCCTATCACTAAAATAATCAATGGCTTAAGTGAAAAAATCAGGATAAATTAAGGGGTCAGTAGCGGAGTATATACTTTGTATTCAGGGGGTCCTCATATTTAACTCCAGGCATCTCCAAGTGAAGGATCTCATATAGCAGTTTTGGGAAAGGTTTCCTGTGTACCAGAAAGGCAAAACACATTGCATTGTATTGTTCAGGCACTAAATACAGAAATTTTATGGTGATGGGAGAATAGGGTTGCCAGCCCCCCGGGCTGTGCAGAGGTTGTCCTGCTTTTGCAGGCTCCTCCCTTCCCAGAAATGCCCTGGAAGTGATGTCATTGTGCTGCTGATATTCCACAGCAGTACTCTAGTTTTTGGACAAAACTCTATGGTAAAATCAGGCTCAAACTATAGAGTTTTGCCCAAAAACTAGAGCATCACCATGCAACATGGGCAACATGATGATGTCACTTCTTGGTGATGTCATCATGCCCTGTGCATACAACAGAAATGTGAGGAAAGGCCATTGATCCCCCTGCTGGCAGAAAGGTAGGACCTGCCAACTCAATGGGGGAATAAAAGAGCACTGAATGAATGGGGTAGAATTAAGACTTTCATCAGGGACGGTCTTAACCAATGGGCAACAGGGACATCTGCCCTAGGCCACATATGGGAGGAGTCCCTGAGTGCTCTCAACTCCACCCCCTAACAGTTGGGAGCAAGTGGCTCAACAGCAGTGTCCTTTTATGCCCATCCCATCTGCCAGTTTTTGAACATGACACTGGCTTCCACTCACCTCGTCCTTTCTTAGACCCTGGGGGAAGGAGGTATGCACAGCAACAGCAGCAGTGATTCTGGGGCCCGATCCTGCATTTTTGATGAGACCTCCAGAATCACTAAGGTGATCCCAGCCCATCATTCCAAACCCTAAGACTTGTTGAACAAGGCCTGACAATGTCATGGGTGGTGATCCAGTGTGAGAGCCAGTGTGGTATAGTGGGAGACTCAGATTTAAATCCTTGCTCTGCATGGAAACTTTCCAGTTGACCTTGAGCCAGTCACACACTCAGCCTAACCCAACTCACAGGGTTGTTGTGAGGATAAAATGGAGCAGAGGAAAATAATGTAAGCTGCTTTGGGTCCCCATTGGGGAGAAAGGTGGGAGTGAGCACCCGGCCCTAGTCCCAGCTCCCACCCACTCAGCGGTTCGAAAGCCTTAACAACTTGCGAGTAGATGAATGGGTACCTGCCTTAGAAGGCAGGGAGCACCCTCCTCCGTTGGGAGGTAAGGTGGGATTCTAGCAGCGGCAATTTGGCAAGCGTCGGTGGTGGAGCGGTGTGTAATGGTGGCAGCAGGCGAGGTGGCGAGCGGAAGTAAAAAGAAAGATGTAACATCGAGCGGTGGACCGGCGGCGGAGCCAGGAAGCGCAAAGACTCAGCGGCGCAGGCGCAGCGGAGCCTGAGGGACAGAGCCGGAGCCGCGCTGCGGTCAGCGCGACGAATGGCCCGTCGACTCCATAAGACTACCGAAGTCTTAAGGACAGAGTGGGAGGGAGGCCCGAGTGGTAGGCAGTCCCGCCCCAATGATGTATGTGCCCATAGTTAGGGATAATAAACTATGTAAGCCGCTCAGAGACCCCGTGGGAGGGGTTCGAGCGGGATATAAGCTGAATGTAAATAAATAAATAAATAAATAAATAAATAAATGTAAACAAAGTAAATAAATAATTCAGGGATGCCATGGAGTGGGCACTCTGTGATGTCACACTGAAGAGCAGTATTAGTAGTACTTCCACACAATGGTAGGTATGTACCACATAATAACTGTGTGTGGTCACAATAACAGGGCTTTGAAAATATGAACTATTTACCTGATTTTTAAAAAAAGAACATGGAAATTAACTATAAAATATCTTTGAGCTGTTACTGCCAGATTATTGCCTCCCATTTTAATATACATGTGCAGTAATTATTACTACAAGTAGGCATGCATGGAAGTCAGGAAAAGCCATTGTGTGTGTGTGTGTGGGGGGGGGCTATCCATTTCCAATCTGCCAGCCTGAGGCCCTGAGAATGAGCCCAAAACCTGAGTCAGGGCCAGAATCTGGCAATCCTCTGGGGAGGGGACTCTCATAAACCAACTTGAAACAGCAGCAACCATAGTAAGTCTGACGTGCTGGAAGGTTAATTTGTTTAAATTGAACTTAATGTTTAAAAAGAGGAATGATAGCAACTTGCATGTAAAAATGTGTGATTTTGAATTCCTTCTTGAAACGAGTCACTTAAGGAGAGGTGTTCTTTTAGAAAATGAATAAATAAAACAAAAGCTAAGAATTCAAAGGGGCATGGCATATTTCTCAGGAGGCATTGCCCCCATATGCCCCCTGTAAGTACAAGTCTGCACAGTTTTTTCAGTCTGCTGATAAATAAGTAATTTCATGGATTTATTTTAACTAATTTGTAAGTGGGCAGCCAAAACGGGAAAGACAGCAGTTGGAATATGTCCAGTGATGCACTCTTGCAAACCCAGCTTGTAAGTCTGTATATGAATCTTATCTGAAGTTAGATGGGAGGAATCGTTTCATTAAAGTAAATGACATGCCATTGTTAATTTTGCTTAAGCGCTGAGAAAATCTCATTGCATATTCATAAAGAGATAAAAGAAATTTTATTTGTTTTAACAATCCTACACTATAGCACTGATCAGAGTGGGACAGAGAAGATGCAATTGGCTTTGCTTTCTCCTTTCATTCCAAACAGATCTAGATAAGTTCCTTTGATTAGTTGTTTTTGATAAATAGAGTTAATAGTTATTGTAAGTCAATCGCAAAGTAATTGTAAATGTGATCAAGACCATCACAGAGATTTAACACAGAGGAAAATTTCTGGCCCGCAGTGTTCATCTTCTTTTTATAAAACATGAAAGCTCTGTGTACAAAACAGATTCACAATCCTATTTGTAGTGCTTTTATAAGAATAATAAAGTCTTTACGTTGCAATTAGGAAATGAAATTTTTAAAAAGCTCTCAAACCAATGAGTACATTTTGTGTGAAATTTGGTTAAATCAGTTTTATAGTTGTGCACTTGGTTAGCGAGTTAAGAGAACGCTACATGTCCAGTGTTTAATGTTTCAGGACATTCAGAGAAGTTGCAGGAGCATAACAGAAAAGAGGAGTGTGACTGCAACTGCATGAACTAGTCCTTTGTGATTGCAACCCCTCAACTGTACGTTCTTTACTCATTCCAGTAGTGGTGCATGTAGGCAACCTGCACCAGTCCCACAGAAATGCAGAAGCTGCTCAGCGGCAGTGCCTGGCAGACAGCAACAACTGCTGCTAAAAAACAACTCGTGCATCATTGAGACTGGCAATTTGTAGTGGCATTTCTCAGATTTAGCAGCATTCAGAAAAAATAAACTATGCCTGGAAAGATATTCTTAACTTTGAATTGCCTTCAAAGTGGAGTTTACTAGCATGTCAAGTGTTCAGTGTAATAGAAATAGTTCCTATTTCTTTGCAATGCTTGTATTCTTTGTTTAAATACATTCACAATGGGAGTCTCTCACCTCTTTCAATAGGTAATATACTCAGGAAACAATCGCAGCTTTATATTACCCACTTTCAGAAGCATCCGGGAAGCTATTTCCACCTACCTTAACACCGTGAGCCTCATACAAGGGGTTTGCAAAGGCGGTGTTCAAGAACTCCTCAGGTTTCCTTTAAAAGACACAATATCAAGAAATTAGTACATATAAAAACTGCTTCAGGATAAAGACAAGAGTGGAGCCACTGTGAGGAGGGAGGATGAAAATAAATTTTAATGATAGTGACATCCTTGTCATTAGAATTATGCTGTTGGAAATACAATAAAACAAGCAGGAGACCCACAAGGATTTGTGGATCTCATTTTCCCCTCCCCCCATTTCTTCTTCCCCTACCCTGAAAGCTCCCACAGCCTCTCCCCCTTCTCCTGTTTCCTTTTCTCCTTCTCACCCACCAGGCAACCCACCTTTATCTCTGCTCCCCTCTCTCCACCGTTCCCCCTTTCCCCCCCCCTGACAGCTTCTCCCCAGAAAAACTCTGGCTAAATTGTGCAGTCCCAGTCACATTACTAAAGAGTTTCTGTTCTTCAATGACCACATAGGTCCCACAATCCTAGGCAAAGTTGCATCCTTCTAAATCAATTGCAGTAAATGGGTTTAGAAGGGTGCACCTTTCCACAAGATTGCACTGACAATAACTCAACTGCTTAACAGGCCTCTTAAAACATCAGGGAAAAAAGATAGCTAAAGTGAGACGTGATGGAGGTTTATAAAATTATGCTTGGGGCGGTGAAAGTTGAGAGAGGGAGCTTTTTCGTCCTCTCCCATGATTCTAGAACTCTGGGGCAGCCAGTGAAGTTGTTGGGAAATAGATTCAGAACAGAAAAAAGGGAAGAACCTCTTTACTCAGTGAGTAATTAAACTGTGGAATCCATTGCCAGATGAAGTAGTGATGGCCACAAGCATACATAGTTTTTAAAAAGGGGTTAGATAAAGTCATAGAGGAGAGGTTCATCAGTGGGTACTGGCCATGGTAACTGAATGGATCCTGAATAAGTGCTGGAGGCAGTAGCAAATGAGGGCTTCAATGTCTATCCCGTTTGCCCTCAAGGGGAGGTGGTTGGTTGCTGTATGGACCACTGGGTTGATACAACTGGGTTGATACAACAGGCTGCATGTGTTTTTTAATGTTCTTAATATTCAGAATCATTATCTTTACTTTTGTATTATTAAAGGCAGTAGCAGCCTCCCCACTTGGACATTTAATGATCTCAGCATAGATTTGTTTTTTTAAAAAAACCCAAATGTATTTAGACGTGGCCTGCCAGATGAACTTTGTGGTTCCAACAAATAGATGTTGAGTCAAAGTCACTTTAGAAATTTAATTATATGGTTAGAATTCTAAAGCCACAGATTCCAAACCTGCCCCACTGACCTCATGAGGCCTTCAATTTGCAGAGCTATGTCCAATTGACTTCACTGTCAATAGAAATGAAGTAGTGATCTCAGTATTTCACCTGCACAACCCAGTCTTAAGCAATCACTGTCGCAAGGACTTCACTGTTAATACCTTTTGGCGCCGCGCTGTAGCCAGCTACAGTATGAAGTTAAAGTAAACCCTCTGGGCACTGCACTACTACTCATTGCTTTTTTACCATTGTATCTTATTCTATATGTATCTTTTATAGACTATGCGGCAGCAAATCTGGCTTTGTGACTGTTTGCTTGGCAAGGACTAGCCACCAGCCCTGCCTCTTTGATACACATTCTGAACATGTCTGTCTCAGACATTATCATACATCACAATGTCCTCATGACCCACAGGGGTTATCATACATCATACATCACAATATCCTCATGACCCACATTGATAGATATGCTCGGTTGGTTCTGTGCTTAAAGCCTAATTCCATGACTTTAATTCTTTTATTTGGATAGGGCCCATGGCATGTGTGGAAAGAAGACTTAAGCCTTCCTCCCACATTTTCCTGTCCTGGAACAGCCCCACAAGCTGCTATTTGCCCTGCCTGGTAGGCCACATAATTTTTCTTAGTGGGGCAAACAGTAGCTCCCCAGAGCAGTTTCTGTCCTTTCATGCAATAGTAATCAAAATCAGGCCCAGGTATGTCTGGGAATTAAGTTCCATGCATAGAACTCCCAATAGATCCTGTGGTACACAAGGGGGGAACAGACAGAGTTGAAGAAGAGGAGAAGAGATTGGATTTATACCCCCCCTTCACTACTCAAAGGAGTCTCAGAGTGTCTTATAATCTCCTTTCCTTTCCCTTCCCCTCCCCACAACAGACACCCTGTGAGGTAGGTGGGTCTGAGAGAGCTCTTTTGAGAACTGCTTGTGAGAGAACAGTTCCGAGAGAGCTTATAACTGACCCAAGGTCACACCAGCAGCTGCATGTGGAGGAGTGGGGAATCAAACCCAGTTCTCCCATATTAGAGTCCACGCTTCTAACCACTTCACCAAACTGACTCTTTAAGATTTTATTATAATGTACACCTAAAACCTAATGTCAAAATCAATTCTTAGTGACTTGGGACCCGTGTTCCCTCTAAGCTGAGTTAGTGTGAGCTAGCTCACTGTTTCTTAGTTTCCAGCTCACACATTTTTGTCTTAGCTCAGGAAGGATGGCTCCAGAGCAAACTAATTTATGCAGTAGCCTAATTGCTCGCTCACAACTTTAATGCCAGTAGCTCACAAAGTAGATTTTTTTTGCTCACAAGACTGCATGGCTTAGAGGGAGCATTGCTTGGGACTGCATGAAACAACTACTTCTGCCATCTTTCACTAGTACCTTTCTCTTTTAGTCCTGATCCTGTTATTTCTATGGTAACTAGCATGGCAACACTGTGGTAAGGAACAAGATGCACCGCAACAAAAGTCCAGGTAATCCTGCGCCAGTCACAAGAACAATGTGCTCTCTTGGAGCAAACTTTCCTAGAATGGCGTGCACTGCCATTTGCGCTAGCATCAGGGTATACAAACAACTTGCTGAAAAACTAATAAATAATAACAACATGATAAACAGGAGTTTTGAAAACAGGTCCCTTGAAAACAAATACATTTTAATTCTACCATCAGGTTCTGTGGACTATTGGCATTTCATCAGATGCATGGCAGAATGAATAAATGGTCAGAACAGAACATTGGCATTTCATCAGAATGAATAAATGGTCAGAACAGAACAAACACTTATAAGACACTTGTCTATTTTTGCTGTGACAGACTAACATGGCTACCTCTTCTGACACTGTTCCCAATGCAGATAATTGGCTTATATTGCAATGCAAGATCTATGACATGAGGGCAATGATTACGGGCAGGGTCCCAAGCTGGGAAATTTCTTTAAAACTTCTTGGAAAATGACAATAATTGGACACTGGCAATGTAACAGGAATAGCCTCACGAGTCACCTCTTTCCTGACTCGCAGTGGCTGGGACCTTCTTGGCGCTGCAGAATAGCTCACAGCGGCCCTGGCAGTGATCAAAGGAAATGTTAAGAGGATGTTTCCTCAGAGGCATCAAGAGTCTGAACCCAAGTGGCCTAGTACAGTGACTCAGCTGTACCACCTTGATCATTTAACACTAGAAGGAACTGCTGGCTTGGTCTCTGTTGCTCTTTAGCGCCACAGATAAAGATAAGGTGGTGTTGCAGCCACTAGCTCCCAGAGTCAGATAACTGAAGAGGCGAGCATATTTCCACCTAATTCAACAGAGCTGCTAACCCAAGCTAAACTAAACTCATTCAAGCACAGATGGAGCTCTCAGTCTGCCTATCCCTGCATACGTCCTTGCTTGCTTTACAAATTTGCCTCCAGTCCATCATCAATGACACTTACCCACCAGGAACCCCTATGACCTTGATTGTTTTTCCTATTATGGATTCCCCCAAAGAACCAGTCAGCAGTGTCACATGCTGCTTTTTAAAAGTTTAAGACTCTACTTACATGGCTTATAGAATAGCGTCTCGGGCTAATCACATAATATTTCCTGTTTGCTGACATGACAGAGACATTACCCTTATTGGAAATGATAGCTCGTGGTTAGACTAATGAACAGTCTAGCCTTCTGAAGGTCTCACATGGAGTTTGAAGCTGTGTCACCACTTTACAGCACAGGATAAACTAACCCACAGCTCACAAATTTTCCAAAATAATCAGAAAATAGGCCAAAAAATTATACTAATTCTTGTTACTATACTTTGTATATGAAAGGAAAACAGACTAAGCTCCAAAAGAAAAAAGTAGGGATCAGTTTGAACTTTTTTTTTTTTTGGCAGTAGCCTGCATTTTTAGAAAAAACAAATATTTAGAGCTCAGGCAGTATTTATCTTTCTAACATAATGAAAAAAATACAACAGCTGAGAGATGTAAAAGTTGAAGCGTACTGGATCCATATTGTAGATGATGCAGACAAGGATGAAGAAAGCTGTACTGATCACAAACAAACCGAATCAAGAGCCACTGAGTAGTATCCTGAATTTTAGACGCATTTTTAGTTTAGCCATCGCTGCCTGGAACTTTGCTTTATAGTTTTTGGGCTGTATGTAAATTATGGGGGCAGAACCAATATGCACAGTCCAAACACATACACAGAAGGGAGGGTCAGTGAGGGAATGCCAGACAAAACAGGTAAGTTTTCACCTGTTGGTGAAAGACAATGATAGTGGGATACTGACAGATCTCCTTGGAGAGGGAATTCTTTAATTTTGGCGCCATAACCAAGAAGGCCTTCCTCGGATCGCCACCCATCTAGCCTCAGATGATAGGGGCACCCAAAGCAGGGCCCACAAAGATGACCATTATGGCCAAGAAGGTTTATATGGGAGTAGATGGTCCCTTGAGAGCCAGTTTGGTGTAGTGGTTAAGTGTGCAGACTCTAATCTGGGAGAACCGGGTTTGATTCCCCACTCCTCCACTTGCACCTGCTGATGTGATCTTGGGTCAGTCACAAGCTCTGGCACAGCTGTCCTTGAGAAAGAGCAGTTTGTGTCAGAGTTCTCTCAGCCCCACCCACCTCACAGGGTGTCTGTTGTGGGGAGGGGAAGGGAAAGGAGTTTGTAAGCCGCTCTGAGACTCCTTTGGGTAGTGAAGGGCGGGGTATAAATCCAATCTCTTCTTCTTCTTCTTTGATCGCTATCAGAACACTGTTGTATGATAGGC